CCCAGCCAGGATGGGGGGGCTGGGGAAGGGATCAGCTTTCCCTGGCCCTGCTTTCCTCCTGCTGCCACCCCAAAGCCAGCCAGGCACCCCCGAGCGATGCTGGAGCACCCACCTCTCTCGGGGCCGTGCTGGACATGCCCGGGCCGCTCTGCCTTTGCCTCCCCGAGCCGGGGCCACCTCGAGTTTGGGCCAGGAGCTCCTCTGGGCAGGGGACACCCCGCTCTCCTGTCCCCAAGCCCGGCACACACAAAGGTCTGCGAAGCTGCCGGAGCAGCCCCCGCGCCTCCCCCGCTCCCCCCACCGAAACCCAAAACCACCGATTTTTTTTTTTTTTTTTTGTGTGTGTGTCTTTTCCTTTCTCCTCCTCGGGAGGTTTCCAGCCATCAAATGCTTCCCGGGAGCCCTTCAAAGGAAAAGCGGCCGCCCCATCCCATCCACTTGCTAAACCGGTCTGAGCAGTGCCGGGCGGGCGGGACGGAGAGGCCCCGGCACCCGCGACAGGGACAGGGACAAGAACCGTGCGCAGGCACCGCGGGGATCCCAGAGCAGGGACACTGCCACCCCTGGGGACACCGGGGTGCCACCGGCCAGCAGAACCCACCCCCAGCACTGCTCGTTCAGCAGGGAAGGAGTTTTGGGCATTCTTCTAAATTTTTCGAAATTATTCGAAATTATTCTCCCAGCCAGGGGAAAGTGCAGGCAGGTGATGGGGAGAGAAACTGGCTCCCAGTATTCCCAGTTGGGCGGTGGGGGAGCACTGGGAGGCATCAGGGCAGGGAAATGGAGCAGCTGCTCCAGGCATTCCTGGGAGAGGAGGAGGAAGGTGAGGAAGCAGAAGGGCCTGAGGATGACAAGAGTTTCCAGGATAAATGCAGGGTGGGAGGAAGGGGATGGTATCAGCCTTATTTTTTTCCCAAAAAAAACCCCAGCCTTGGAACTTTGGCAAGCCTGGAAAACAATTGGGAGGGATTTCTGTGCTCCCACCAAGCACAAGCCCAGGCACTGCAGAATTCTCAGGATTGTCCCCACTGTGCCACAGGTCCTGGAAGCTGCACAATCCCACACGGGCACTGGAGAATTCCCAGGATTGACCCCACTGTGCCACAGGTCCTGGAAGCTGCACAATCCCACACGGGCACTGGAGAATTCCCAGGATTGACCCCACTGTGCCACAGGTCCTGGAAGCTGCACAATCCCACACGGGCACTGGAGAATTCCCAGGATTGACCCCACTGTGCCACAGGTCCTGGAAGCTGCACAATCCCACACAGGCACTGCAGAATTCCCAGGATTGTCCCCACTGTACCACAGGTCCTGGAAGCTGCAGAATCCCACAAAGGCTCTGGAGAATTCCCAGGGGATGTGGAGCTGGATGTCCCCCTCATGCCATGGGATTTGGCAGCCACTGAGGGGCTTTGCTGAAGCTCAGGGACCTCCTGTCCCCAGCACGGGGTGGCCCAGCCCTCCCCGGGCTCACCTTGCCCTTGGCTCAAGTGCCAGGTCCCAGGTCATGGTGAGAGCCAGGGGGGTCCGAGGCTGTGGGAAAAGCTGAGACAGACCCAGCACAGTACAGGGAGGAGCTGGAGACCCCAGGCTGAGCTTAAACAGGACCGGGGATGTGGATGGGGATGCTCAGAGCAATTCAAAGCCCTCACAGCTTCACCCACGAGAGAGGGATGGGAGGAAGCACGGCCTGGACCCCCGGGATGGCGATTCCATACCCGGGATGGCTATTCCTGCCCCGGGATGGCGATTCCATCCCTGGGGAGGGGTTGGCACACGACCCAGTGTGGCAGGACCTCAGCATCCTCTCCAGCCGCAGGGTGATGCCCACTCGCCGATGTCCCTTTGTCACGGGCACTTGTCACAGGTCCCTGTGTGACCCCAAACCTCTGCAGCTCCTCCCCAGCCCTGCCTGTCCCCCTGTTGTCACTGCCCAGCCCAGCCTGTCCCTGCAGAATCCGGAAGGTTTTGATGTCCCTGTGCTTGCGGAATTTCCCACGGGCATTTTTAGAGTTTCTCACTCGTGCCATGGGATCACGGAGGGATCAGCGCTGCCCCAGCGTTCAGGGACATTGCCAAGGAACGGGAATCCCTCGGTTCCGCCTCCATCCCTCGCTCATCGCGGGCCGCTGGCGCCACCGGGTGCCCGAGCGCTGTCACCGGGTCACGGCAGCGCGGCCCCGGTTGGGTTTGGGGTGCACCGGGACCCCCCCAAGCATCCCCCAGGCACTGCTGTGGGTTCCAGACCCACACACAGACCCCAGAGCGCAGGACTACCCCAAAACCAAACAGGGGAATGAAATCCAGGAGGGTCCCCCCTCCCCAGCGTGGCTTTGCCTACCAGCACCCCCAAAAAGAGCCCAGGTGCCCCAAAGTCACCAGAGGGTGACAGCGCCCCCAAAGAGCGCCCTGACCCCCCTAAAGGGCACCTGCCAAGAGCCCTGCCATGCCCCAGAGGGAACCCAGCCCTGACACACACAGTGCCAGCACCCCCAGTGACACCCCGAGGGACCCCCAGCCCTGACACACAGTGCCAGCACCCCCAGTGACACCCGAGGGTGCCCACAGGAACGTGCAGGAGATCTCCGGGGGTCCCGGGGGTGACCTGAGCCGGTGTGGGCAGGGGGTCCCGGTGAGGCTCGTGCCGGGTACCCCATGCGTGTCCCGGGAGCCAGGACGGGGCACGGTGAGGTTGGGGGTCCCGGTTGCCCCTCGGTCGCCCCTCGGTCCCGCTGGCCGTGCCCGGTGCCTCCCGGGCTCTTTAAGAAGCTCCGCCCCCGGCCGAGCCCAGGGTGGGGCCACGGGGCCCTTCAAAAGGTGACAGAACTCCCAAATCCTCCAAAAGTATGTTTGTTTGGGTTTTTCCATTTCTGTAAGGAGTATTTCTATCTTTTCCTTGGTATTTTTCTCTCTGGAATAGGACATGTTTCATGCAAAATCCCCAAAAAGCTTCAAGTGAAGAATTTAGAGATTTTTTCCCCTCAGTATTCCTTGGAATCCTGCATCTAACAGGTTGTTCAGCAGGATGAGGAAGGGAACTGGGATGAGGTTGGAGGAACCCCAGTAGTGCCAGGAGCCAGGCTGGTGTCACCCACCTTGTCATCCTCTGTGCCCAAACCGTGAGCCAGCTGCTCCCCCATCCCAGGACGTGTTTGTCCAGATGTGGCCTGGACATTTTATCCAGAAGGACCCTGGATCAAAAGCTTTGCTGAAATCCAAAAAGATTCCATCTCCTGGCTTTCCTTGATCAGCCAGGTGGGATGCCCTGCTGTAGAAGGAAATCAGGTTAGAAAAGCAGGATTCCCCCTCATGGAGCTGTGACCTGTGAATGTGTTGTCCTCCAGGTGTTTTCCAATAATCCCCAGAAGAATCTTTTCCATGATTTTACTCGGCACTGAAGTGAGACTGACAGGTCTGTGGGTTTTGGGGTCCTCCTTCTGCAAAATCAGGACAACAGGTCCTGATCTTCAGGTCCCAGTTTCCAGCCAGCTGGGACCTCCTGCATTCCCAAGACCATTCAAAACCATCAAGAGATGGTTCATCATTCTCAGATGAATCCCACCAGGACCCACGGGGATTTGGAGGTGCCCAGATCCCACGGGGATTTGGAGGGATCCATCTGGAGCAGCAGCAGATCCTGCACAAGTTCAGGGAGTTGATCATTCTTGCAGCTCAGGGCACTGGAATTCCCTTGCTCCATCCTCTGGCCACAGCATGAACAGCTCTGCCTTGTCCCTGTCCCCTCTGGGAGGTGACATCCTCACCCTGACCAGGACAACCCTGGTATTTCTGCAGTGCCTTTTGTCATTGATAGACCTGAACAAACATTCCCCAGCTGGCAGCTTTCCAGGCACAGGGACCACCTCAGGCCAGGGACAAGCTCTGCCCATGGCACATCCAGGCTGCTGGATGGGAAGTTGAGGAAAAACACTTTCCAGAGTAGCTGGGAGTTATTTTCAGCTCCCTGAAGCGCCCCCCAGTCTCTCCTTACACCAATTCTCTCATCCCCACACAGCCAGGGCAGAAACTCCAGCTCAGAGGAGACTGGGAAGCTCCAGTTCCCTCATCCCCACACAGCCAGGGCAGAAACTCCAGCTCAGAGGAGTCTGGGAAGTTCCTCCTCCCAACCAGCCCCTGCAGGGACTGCCCTGAGCATGGGAGGTGTCACGATCCCCATCATCCTTCCCACCACCCACCAGCTCAGAGCAGCCAACCCCAAATCCTGACACTCTCCCAGCAGCCAGGGGGGTTGGCTGGGGAGGGGAGGGATGGAAGAAACACTCCTCAAGAACCATTATTAAAAAGCAAAGCGTGTGGCCACAGCCGCTGGTTTAACTTAGAAACACTTCAAGTGGCCCAGAGTCTTCCAAAAATACCCGAGAGCTGCTGGCCCTCATCCCCCCCCCCCTACCCTGTCCCACCCCCCTCACAGAATTCCATAAAATAAAAGTTCCATGTTCCACAAAGTTTCCCTTTTTGTGGTGGTGATGGTCTCGTTTGTGGGTCACTGTTGGGTTGTGCTTCCCCTTTTCTTGATTCCTCTTTTCCTCCTGGCTCTCCGTGCCCCCAGCACTTCCCACGAAGCCCAGCACGTGCTGAGGGACACACAGAGAGCTGATGTCCCTTCTCCTGCTGGGACAGTCTGGAGACGGAGAGGGAATGGCCAACAGCTCCTCCACGGGGGGGACTCATCACCCCCTGCCCCCAATCCTTGCCACGGCTCCCAGATTTTGCCCCCGGGCACTGGGAGGGGCAGGGAGCACACGAGGGGCTGAACAGCTGCTGGGTGAGTCGAGGAGCCTCCAGGCGAGGCCAAACCCAGGAATAAAAACAGCTGGGGACAAGAGAGAAGGGGCAGCGGTCCAGAATCCATTGTTTGCCGTCCCGTCCCGTGCCGGCGGCGCTCCTGCAGCGGGCACGGCTCGGCCCCGGCGCTCCCGCAGTCCCCGCCCCGGCCCGCGGGAGCCGCGGGCTGTGGATGGGTGGAGGGAGGGAGGCGCAGCCGGCTCCCAGCGCGGCCCAGCAGGCAGCGCTCACATCATGACGTGCCGCCGGCGGTGCAGGGCCAGGTGGTCGGAGCGGGAGAAGCTGCGGTCGCAGTCCGAGCAGCGGAAGGGTTTGATGCCCGTGTGCTTGCGGAAGTGCCGGGTGAGCTCGTCCGAGCGAGCGAATTTCCAGGTGCAGCCTTCCCACGTGCATTTGTAGGGCTTCTCACCTGTGCCAGGGGAGCGGAGAGGGGTCAGCGCTGCCACAAGGAGCTCCCAAACCCCTCACAGAAATTCCAGATGGAGAATCCCTTAACACCTCCACCCCTTTTTGCTCAGGGATCCAGCACCATCCCCCCCGCCCCGGCCCACGGGGAATCCAGGACACCAATCCCAGCCGTACCTGTGTGTATCCTCCGGTGGGCTTTGAGGTGGGAGCTTTTGGTGTAGACCTTATTGCAGCCCTCGAAGTCGCACTGGTGGATGCGCCGCTTCTTCAGGTCCGGGGAATCGGCTCTGGGCCCTCGCACCGCCGGCCTGGAGAGCAGGGAGAGCTGGAGCCACGGCCCCGGGGGGCTCGGGGGGATAAAGGGGGGTGGATAAAGGGTGGGGAGGCACAGGCAGGAGGACACTCACTCTCTCTGCAGGTCCTGGAAAGGCGCTGGGCCGCTCTCGGAAGCGCTGTCCTCGCTGTCGCTGTTCATGTCCATGGGGTACACGGAGCCAGGGTCCATTTTCACTGGAGGGGTCCGGGAAAGGAAAGCTTTAGGGCACAAAGATGTAAGGGGTGAGCACAGAAGACCCCAAAACACCCACCCCGCATCAGGGGCTCAGCCTTGCTCCTGCAGTGCTCCAAGCACTGCCCGTCCCTCCAGAGACTCAAATCCAACTGGGCTGATGGAGAACCCCCAAAGGGAGGAAACAACTTGGGGGCACCGCTTTTGGCTGCCTGCTGCTGCCCAGAGCAGGGCAGATCCAGGCTCCCCCACTCTGGATAAGGTGGGAAGTTGGGAATGTCCTGGGAAAGGGGATTGTGGGGGGCACAGGGAGCAGCTGAGCTGAAACCAGAGCTGCTGGCAGCAGGCAGCCAGTGGGAAGGGCAGGGCCGGCTGCCAGCAGCAGGATGGGTGGAGGACAGGCAGTGCCATGCCCTGTGTGTCCCTGCCCTCCCCACGTTCCCTGGGGGGCACAAGCTGGGGGCTGGCTGAGGGGCTTTGTACAAAAGTGGCACATGGTGGTGGCAGGGACGCTACACAGTGAAAAATGAGATCCCCTTCAAGGAGAGGGATCCTGCCAAGGATCAGGACAGGACAGGACACCCTCCACCCCCCCAGACTGCAGGGTTCCCCCAGGTGCCCTTACCAGACCCAGCGTTCTTGCCGTCCCCCCCGATGAGGGGCACGGTAATGGCGGTGACGCCGTCCGTGGGCACGGTGGTGTAGACGACGGGGAGGGACTGCACCACCACGGGGATGGTCTGCAGGTTGCCCATCTTGCTGGGCAGGTTGACGGAGGGGATGGTGTGGATGACGTGGAGGATCTGCTGCCCGCCGCTGCCCTGCGTGGAGGCCAGGATGGAGCCGGGTGAGAGGACAGCCGGGATGGCCGAGGTGGAGCTGAGACCGGAGGGCGGGATGGATACGGTGCTAGGAGCGGGAAGCGGGGGAGCCACCAGCATGGGGGAAGACTGCACCGAGGTGGGGGGCGGTGGCGGCGGGGCCGAGGCCGGAGCCACCTTGGATTTATTGAGGGAGAGATCGACGGGCTCGGCCTGGGGCTGGCTGCAGTCGCTGGCCAGCAGCTCCTCGGGGGGCTCCGTCTTGATGTCGGCCAGCAGCACCGGGGGGTCGAGGGGGCCCTCAGCCAGCAGCGCCGACGAGCTCATGGCGGGCGTCGCCTTCCCCTGGCCCTGCAAGAGACCCGCAGTCCGTGAGGAGCCAGGGAAACTGAGGCACGGGGCGGGGGCGCAAGGGGTTTTTTTTAACGGGCTCTCACCAACCAACCGACCGGGGCGGCGCCTCGGGGCGGCTCCGGCGGGGCGTGGGGCCACCCGGGGGTCTCCGGGCCGGGCATGGCGGGGCCCGCCCGTGCCCTGAGGCGGGGCCGGGCCCGCCCGTCCCTCACGGGCCCGCCCGGCCCCTCACCGCGGCCGCGGCGCGCGCCGAGGGCGGGAACCGCAGGCCCCGCCCCCCCTCCCGCCCGCGCCTTTGTGCCGGGCCGGCCCCGCCCCCCCCGCGGGAGGGGCGTGGCGGGGGCGTGTCCCGCGCGCGGGGCGGTGGCGGCCCCGCCCCGCTCCTTCCACACCGCGCCTTAAAGGGACCGCGCCCCCCAATATCCCCCCCCGCCCCCCCCCCCGCCGGCCGGGGTCACTCACGCACTGACCCGCGGGGCTGCCACGCGTGGCCGCCGCGCCCGCTGCTCCCCCCCGCCGCCCGCGGCACCATCTCCCAGGCCGCGCCGGCCGAGGTGCGAACGGCCCCGCGGCTCCACCTGGGCTCGGCCGCGGGTGGAGCTTCTTAAAGGGCCCGGCCCGGCCCCCGCGGGAGGCACCGGGCACGGCCCCACCCGCGGCGCGGCCGGCGCTGCGACCCCGCGGGACCGCGACACAAAACCGAGGGACGAGCGGGACCCCCAACCCCACCGCACGCCGCGCTGGCTCCCGGGGCACGCGTGGGGACAGCCGGCACGGGGGGATCCCTGCCCAAAGGAGCCGCTCGGCACCCCCCGCACTGCCCCGGGACCCCCCGGCGCTGGCCCCGGGCTCTCCGCACGTACCTGCCCACGCAGGGACCGTCCCCGCCCGCGGAGCCCCCACTCACCGGCCTCGCGCGGCGGCCCCGCCCCGCCACACCCAGCGCCGCGCCCCGCGCACACGGCCCGGCCCCGCCCGGGAGGGGCGGCGGCTACAGCGCACCCCCGGCACCGGCACCGAGCCCGGGGCACCGGCACCGAACCCCCCCCGGCACCGGCACCGAGCCCGGGGAACCGACACCGGGCCCAAGGCACTGGCACCGGCACTGAGCCAGGGGTACCGGCACCGAACCCCCGCGGCACCGAGCCCGGGGCACTGCCACCGAACCCTCCCGATATCGGCACCGAGCTCAGGGCACGGAGCCCAGGGCACCGGCACCGAACTCTCCCGGCACCGAACACTCCCCATACTGGCACCGAGCCCAGGGCACCGGCACCGAACCCTCCCGATACCGAGCCCGAGGCACCGGCACCGAGCTCCCCCGATACCGGCCCCTAGCCCAGGGCACCAAGCCCAGGGCACTGAATCCCCCCGGCACCGGCACCGAATCCCACCGGCACCGAACCCCCCGCTCACACACGGAGCCCTGAATTCACCGTCCCCATAAGACAGGACCCCCCCCCCCCAAAACACCTCCACACGCAGGGCAGGGACCCCCCCCAACACACGCACAGAGCCACGGAACCCCCAAACACAGCCCCCCACCTATGACCATGATACAGCCGGGAGCCCCCCAAACACACCCCAAAAACAGCCAGAGACATCCTCCCCTCCCCAGAAGCCACCTGGGGACACCCTAACGCACAGAGCCCCCTCCAAACACACGTTACACCCCAAAACACCCCCCCAGTATACACGGGACCCCCCCCCAAAACACACACTCAGCCAGGGACCCGCACCAAACACCCCCATAATCAGCCAAGGACCCCCCAACACTCCCCTCACACACTGACAAACTACCAGCACCCCCAAAACACCTCCACACTCAGGTAGGGACCTTCATAGATCCCCCCCAAAATCCAGGGACCCCAAAAACACTCCCCAAAAAGGAGAGACACCCCATGCTCAGTCAGGGACACCCCAAAACACATCCCCAGGTTCTCAAAGCCAGACCCCCCCAAAAAACACACCAGGGGACACCCCCAGACAGACACCCACCTGCCCCCCACACCTGGGGACCTCATTGTCCCCCCAGACCTCCCCTCACACCCGGGGGGTCCCCAAAAACAGACTCCTGAGAAAGGGGGTGCAAAAGGGACACCCCCTCCTCCCCTGGGGGACCCTCCCCTACCCAAATTTGGGGGTGCCTTGCGCCCCACAGCCCCGCGGGGTTAGGGGGTGCGGGATGGGGCGGCTGAGTGGGTGGGGGGCTCGTTGCCTCCCAAATTCCACCATTGATGACCCCACTGAACCGAATTCCTCCGTCCTCAGCCTGGTGCACCCCAAAACCCAGCCAGGCGTGCGGAGTGGGGGTCCCCCTCCTCAAACCCGCATATCTGGGGGTGCTCCCAACACTTCATGTCCCCAACACCGCGGGAAGAATTCGTGCCCCCCCCTCCCCTTTTTATCCCTAAACAGCTTAAGGAGGGATTTCGGGTGACCTTGGGGAGAGGGGGGGGGGGGGAGCGTGGGAAAACGCCTTCCACAGCCCCCCTCAAACCCCCCCCCTCCCCCGCTTTGTCCCCTGCGTGTCCCCACCCCCTCCCCCCCGCTGCGTGTCCCCCACCCCTGGGCGTGGGGGGGTCACACCCCGCCGCCGCCGCCGCCACACCCCCCCGTGGAATTTCCTCCGCGCTCCACCCTCCGCCGGCGGCCGCCGGGGACACGGCGGGGGGAGGGCACGGAGGGGATACAAAGGGGGGGATCCCCAAAGGGGCGGGGGGACACGGTGCTGGTGGTGGGAGGGGGGCTGGAGCCTAAAGGGGGTCTGGCCCTTTAAGAGCAAAGGGCGTGGGAGGGGGGGAGGGAAGGGCGGGGCCGCCGCCCGGTGTGACCTCCCAGCCGCGGGGGGGCGCCCTCCCCGGAAGCGCGCGGCGCGTGAGGGGATTGTTGGGTTGGGGGGGGGGACACCCCACGCGCGACCCCCGCGTGAGGGGGCGAGGGGGGGCAGGGGAGGCCTGAGGGGCCGCGGGACCCTCCCTCTCCATCCCTCCCTCCCTCCCTCCTCCCCTTCTCCCCTCTCGCCACGCCGGACCCCGCGCTCCCACCCCTCACCCTCAGCCCCCTCAGCCCCCCACGCGCGGCCCTCCCCGCGGCCCCGGCCCCACGCACCGTCCCCCGCGCCTCCTCCGAGCGCATCCCCGGCCGCCGCCGCCGCCGCTGCCCCCGGGGCGGTGCCGGGTGGGGCGGGGTGGGGCCCCCACGGGCGGGGAGGGGCCGCGTTGGGCGGAGCTCCCCCCTCCCCCACCCTCCTTTTTTTTATTTTTTTTTTTTTTTTCTTTTTTTTTTTTAATTTTTTTTTTTTTTTTGGGGTGGGGGGTGCTGCCCCGCCCTTGAGGTGACATCATCGGCAGCCAATGGGCGGCTCCCCTCGCATCCGGCGTTGCCATGGGAACGCGCAGGATTTGGGGGAGGGGGGGTGGACCCCAAATTGCTCCCACCCCCCCCACACGGAGGGCACCCCAAAATCGGGCTGGGGGTGCTGCTGGAGGGCTCAGGCCTGGGAAACTCGTGGGAGCGATGAGGAGGAGCAGAGACCCCCCCCACATTTGGGGTCCTGTGGTCCCTCTGCACCCCCCATCCACAGGGGCTTGGAGCACCCCAAAATCCCGGGGGGGGGGCGGCACTGCCTGCATCCCCCCCCTCAAATCTCTGCCTCCCGAGCCCCTTCACCGCACAGGTAAGCCCCCCAAATATGTGGGGTCCCCCAGGGTGGCAAATTTGGGGGAGCCTCTCCAGGGGGCTGCAGACACGGGGGGCTCTGGGGGTCCCTTCCTGAGGGGTCTTGGGGAGCCTGTGCTGGAGCTGCCCCCCATTCCCACCACACTCCCTGGACCCCACTGGTTTTCCAGCCTTTTGTCCCAAGGGGACCTGGCTGCTCCCCCACCCCTGAGGTGTCCCCACCCTGCGCTGAGTTGGCCAAGGGCAGGCCCAGGCTGGGTTTAGTCACCCCATAAGCCCCCAAATGCAGGACCCCCACATGGGGACGGCAAATCCTGGGCATGGGGACTCAGCCCGGATGTCCCTGCCAGAGGTGACTCAAGGAGCAGGTCACGGCCACCAAGGTGGTGACCTTGGCACACACCGAGCTCATCCAGGGTGAGGATGGGCCCCTGTGAGCCCTCACTTCTGCCACACCTCAACCAGGACCAAACCGACTTTTATTTTGTGGCAAAAATCCCCTTCCCTTCCTCAGGACGGGCTCAAGTAGGGACCTTCCCTCTGCCAACCTCCTCTGGGGAGATTTTTGAGAACCAGAAAAGCTTTTGGGGGATGAGTGGCCCGTGACCCCACCCCAGTGTCACCGAGTGAAGGACCAACAGCAGGCAAAGGTGATCCCCCCAAAAACCACAGAAAAAAGCAGGGAGCAGGGCAGGGATTCCCCAAAGTCCCTTCTCCTGCTCTCCCTGGCAGCTACACCTCCCCGAGGATGGATTTTGGGCAGGGAATGGCGTGGATGCTCCTCACCAGGTGCCTGCAGTGACAATCCAGGGTGACTTTGGAGAATCCGTGACCCCCTGGATGTGTTGCAGGAGCTGGTCCCAGCTGGAGAGCAGCGTGTGGCCACCACAGCCCCGTGTCCATCCCCCCCAGCATCACAGGGGACAATTCTGTGCCACAGAGGAGAAAAAACAAGTGGAAGCATCCCCAGGGAGAGCCTCAGGAATTGTTGACCCTACACAGCTCATCCTGGGGGAAACAGCCTGGGGCTAACCCCGCTGGAGCCATCCATGCTCCAAGGCAAGAAAGAAATGGTCAAAAACCTGGAATTAGCTCCAAGACAACCCCAGGGAACACAGCCTGCCCCGGGGACCCACAGGAGCTCCAAGGGGAAAGGGATCGGGCCAAGGGGGGATTTATTCAGGATCTCAAGTTATCAAGTTTCTCCTATTCCAAGGTCTAGTGCTGAAGGAAAAGGCTGGATCCGGGTTTGGGTTGATGTTTGTGTGAGAAACATCTGGAACAGGCATCTT